GACAAGTAACAATAAACGTTCAGTATTTTCGTTGGTGGTGGTGAAGGGATAGATTTTACTTAAACACTTCCTAATATTCTCGTGGTTTAGAACAATGATCACTGATACAGATGTGGATTAACGTACGTGTCCCCGCCCATTGCTCTTGACACATTGCAACATAAAGATTAATAATAACAATAATATATTTTGCCGCACCGTAATTGTAGCAGCAATTAAAATAGCGACGAACATTATTGCTGGTCTTATCCGCATTACGCGAATCAATATAGTGATTTAAACCAAAAATTTGACACTTTTACTACAGTATACGTACTTTAGATATTCATACAATTTTATGGCGATCAAATGTTGAAGGCCCACCAAGATAAAATATTTACAAACATGAAATATTTTAYTGACATGCCACCGCGTATTTAAATACGCCGATCCACTCGTCGGTGATACATTCWGACAGAAACGGTTCTACCTCCGTCTTCATATTTGTCTCCCATCTCCGGGGCAGAGTGTCACCGCCCACCATAAACTATATAAGTTTGGCAGCACGTCCGTCAATCACCCATCAATCATGTGGACATTCGTCGTGTGTGCTCTTTTGGCCTGTGCGCTACAACAGGTGTCTGCAGCCACCACCGCTCAGGAGTCAGGTACGCTTTTATTCGATTTTCTTCACCACATGTTTATAACATTTATTACATTGCATTTTATAGTAAWATGATTCACAGTTCCTTGAATGTACTGTAGTTTTCTTTTAAAGTCATCACATGTGTTATTTTTATTTTTTCAAGGTTTCGATCGAATATAATAAAAACACTAGTTGTGAGGTTTTTTCTATTTATACAACGATTTATTTCTGGTTGATGAATAAAATAATATATTATTATTTGTTAGTTAGTTGTTGATAACGTAATACAATATTATATCAATGTGTTTATTATTGATACTTAGTARTTAAAATTAGGTATTTTTTACACTAATACAATACAAATTAGAAAGTAGGTAGAAATATGGGTTATAATATGAAGTATTTACTTTTATTTTTATTTTTCATAATACATATTTTGYAGATAAATGTGAATATTTACACAGTATTACTATTACTATGGYGCGTATTCATTTATTAGACTAATAATGAGATAAAATGAGAAGAAGAAGAATTAGATAAAATGTTATCATAATTCTCTTTGTATATTTATAATATATTTTATAAGATTTAAACAATGCTTTGAATTATATTGTGTTGCTTACGTATATGAATAAATAGATACTTTCACTTTCATATTTAATTTTTGGTACTTACAATTTCCACATGTCGGAATGATTATYATAAAATATTATATATAATTTAAAAAAACATCAATTCACTTATGATGTATGTAATCTATACCTACCCATATTCATATAATATATTTATAATGAATATCTGTGTATAATTAGACGTTTATGCTAATAATGTATAAATAAAAAATTGTAAAACTTAAAAATAATAAAATGATTGGAAGAAACCTGTTCAGAAATTGATAAAATATAATGGATCACGAGTTAGCTGGTGGGTACCACTAATTTGATTTAATTTTTATTGAAACCGATGGATGATTTTCTGGATAGAAACAAAGTTTTTTAGAGTTTGGCTGTTTCTATGATGGATAGTATTATTTGTGGTGCAGAGACGTTGATGTTTGTATCAAATTTTCTATATAGTAATTTGGTGGAAATTAATTTAATTTGCCTATTGGTCATTGTGATTGGACCACGTAATTCAACATTAGATTGAAATGAGGAGGAGTTTATATTGTACAAATATATTGATTGAAAACGATCGATTTTAAATGGATGTTAAATTAGCTTATTAAAATATTATAAATTTTTAATTTAAAAAATATTATATGATATTTTTCTTTGTAATACTTATAAACAAATATTATAATATGAATGATGATTTACGATTCTGTATAAGAAATATTACATACTATAGCAGTTTAAAATTTTATTTTAATCACAATAGTAATAAATTATGTTCTTTTAAAAAATATACTTCGTTGAAATATATTTTGTTARCGTGTTTTTTTTTAAGAAAAATACACAAAATTATAATTAATAGATGACCTTATACACTTGTGTATTGCTACACGTCATTACGACAAGCGTTCATTCTTTGTTTTAAATTTTTTTTTTCCCATAAATTACTCGAAAAATATTTATATTTATGACGCTGGCAACATGTAATTGCATATACCAATATTATTAGGTATTGTAATTAGTTTTTTTTTTTAAATAAAAACCTTTGTAAAGTATCTAAATATCTAAATATCTAATTATAGTATTAASATTTAATAGGTACTGCAATAATACGAATTATGAATACGCATAATACTTATYTAATGATATCATATTTGTCTAAGACACATTTCAATATAAAAATCCCTAGAACCAATATTGGTGTTATGTTAATTTAGAAGTAGACTTTTCGTGATATTTTATGAAAAAGTGTGGAAGTTCTTTTTTTTAAGACTATTGTTTATTAAATCATACAGTAATCATACACATAAATCGTGCATGCCATTTGTTGTCAATGACTGTCTATTTTACAAAACACAAATTATTCAAGTGAAAACTCATGTTATATCAAGCCATATTTCGGTGTTATATACCAAATAAAACTAATTGTGTAGCATTATAAATGTATGCGAAAGTACTTCCGCAATAGAATGTRACTATTTATTTAGTTTAATCAGAGTTGAATACGTACCCGCAATTACATATTACAGCAGCATGTAAATAATTATAACTAAAAGTATTTTGGTATTAATAAGATCAATAAAGTTTGGTT